GGTCTGAAAGCGGGAATCTCCAGGGCCATCTACACGTACAGGGCAGGGCAGGCTGGAGCTGGGCTGGGCTCAGGGAAGGCAGTGGTGCTAGGAGGGAGGCTAAAGGGAGCTTCAGCCATTCCAGATTTCGCCATAGCCCCCCTCCCAGTGCCACTGCTGCCTGCCCCAAGCCCAGCACCTGCCTAGAGGAGCCCAGTGCAGCCCTGGCTCTAGCCTGCAGCTGCAGCCTGCCCACCTTGCCCCATACTGATCTGCCCCTCCCCCGGTCCTGTGTCCCACCCTGGCTGGCAATCTGTCCCTGACCCACTCCTCCCTCACAGTAGAGGGCATTGATGTGCCTCCCCAGCACCCCTTCCTTCCTCTCTTCCCTTTTACCACAGTGGACTTACCAGCTGCACACATCAGCTGTATCAGAAATCAGATCGGTATTGGCCTATAAGCCTCCTTAAAAATCGGCCGTTGGTGTGGGCCCCCAAAATCTCCATCAGTTCACCCCTATTTCTGTATATGGAAAATGTATAAAATTGTTAGTTTTCCAGGCATAGAATCTAATTATTGGAGGTGCACCTTGAATCTGTCCCCCTCCCACTGCTACAGCAGGGAAGATTAATCTGGAGGGAGGGTGTCAGGTGGCTACCTTGCCATCTGTGGCCTGCAGCCTACCCTACCCCTCATCTTGCTGTCAGATCCTGCTTTCCCTGGCTGCGTCCAGACGTGTAGGTCTGTGAGGGTTGTGGTGCCACAAACTACGCACCCAAAATGTTAAAATGTGCCCTGCGTTCCAAATACAGGCAGTCCTCGGACTTATGACCGAATTGGTTCCTGAAAACCCAGGCTTGAGTTGAAACATCCTAACTCAGAACCAGTTTTCTCATAGGAAACAATGTTATAAATGCAAGATTTGTTCCTGAACCAAGGCCTGATACCCTGTTTTCACCAAAAATAACCCAGAATTTTGTACTCAGTCAATTATAGATGAGTAATATAGCAACATTAATGTATTTATATTGTAAATAGCAATCGTATTGTTTTGGAAGGACTTCTTTGAAGTGACTTTGCTGGAGTTTTCTCAGGAGTCTTGGCTGCAGGGTTTTTGTTTGTTTGTTTGTTTTTTGTTTTTGTTTTTTTGGATTCTTGTCCACTTTCTTAAAGAAAGCGTCCAAGGAAGTTTGGACAGATGGTCTCCAGGGAGGTGGGCAATGCAGTGAACTTGTTTGCTGGTTTGGTGTTGTGTCGGATCAAGCGTTGTAAAGTTGAAACTGACGTCAGAAAGTTGAAACAGGATGTCAGTTTACAACATTACGCTCTTACAATGTTTATAACTCAAAACCCTGTAAGTTGAGGACTGCCTGTATGCAGTGTGGGGTCAAAACTTGTTACGGGGACTTTCTGGTAGCAAAAATAATGCTGGGGGAGTGGTGCAGGACATGCTACAATAGCATGCACTGGAACGAACAGGCTGGGTTCTCCAGGGAGATGCTCTGGCTGCTGACCAGGGTGTGTCTACTATTTCATTTGTGCCCTAGCTGCTCCAACATGCTGGGAGAAACAGGGAAAGGGCAGGTTGCCCAAAACAGGGCAGTTTGTCCCTCACCAAAGTGCATGTGCCCCTCTGCGGGCTGTACGCATGCTGGCCGGACTGACATGGGGGGTGGTGGGTCACACACAGAGGCTGCCACTCTGCCGCTGTACCCTTTGCTGCCTTCCCACAGCCAGCCACGCAGCTTTGTGGGCAAACAGTGTGCAGCGCAGTAGTAGTGGTGTGGTGGCAGCTGCCCCATGTGAGTCATGTGTGCTGCCCAGCCAGCAGGGGAGAGGCTCACACGTGGTAGCTACTGCTGCTGGTGCCCTACAGCCACCTGCACAGCTCTGCGGTGGTGTGGGGCGGGGGCTGTGGTGGCTATGCGCCAGCTTGGGCGGGGGGGACTTGCACACGGCAGCCACCACTGCTGCTTCTTGCCTGTGGAGTCATGCCCACGTGGAGGCAGCTGCCACGCATGAGTCGTGTCCCCCCCCCAAATCCATGGGCATGGCTCTGCAGAGGAGTGGCAGGAGCGGTGCGAGGTGGTGGCAGCCACCGTGTGTGAAACCCCCTCACCCCTGCTGGCCGCCATGTGGCACGTGGCTGCCACCACCACCACCCTGCGCTGCTGCTGCCACTTGTCTAAGGAGCCATGCATGCAGATGGTGGGGGCTTGCATGTGGTGGCCACTACTGCTGCCGTGCAGCTGGCCATGCATCTCCGCAGGCACGGCTCCACAGGCAAGCAACAGCAGTGGCAGCTGCCACATGCGGGCCCCAGCCCTGCTCTACATGTAGCCGCCACAGCCACCACTCCTTGCTGCCATGGGGCCCTGTGACTAGCTGTGGGGCAGCTGCTGGCCAGGTGGCATGTGTATGGCCCTCATGCAGTGGCCACCACCGCACCACCATGGCTGCACCCTGTGCCACTTGCCTATTATCATGGCCCGCAGAGGGACACCACTGCCCTCACCCCACCAGCCCTGCTCCTGGGAGCGGGCTGAGGTGGGAGGCAGGGAGGCACTGCAATGTTTGTCTGGGGCTGGCAGCACCCGCTGCGTTGCCATTCCCTCATCCCCCAGCCCCACTTACCTCCGGGGACAAAGGGCAAGTCTGAGCCCAGCCTTGGCTGATGCCGAGGCTCAGGGCCTGCCCTTCCCCCCTCTCCTTCCCCTTCCAGACAGGGCTGAGGGTTTCCTGCCCTTTCTGCAGTCAGCTCTTGCAAGCTGGAATTCTGCCAGCCTGCAAGAGCTCTTTCCAAAAAGTAGAGAATCCGCAGATTTTTCTGCTAAAAGGGGAAATCTCCATTTTTTCCATTAAAAGCAGGGAATCTGGTTTTCTCTGTTTTTCCGTGGGAAAAGGAAAACCTGGATCCCTGCTCATGATTTACTGAGTCAATAGTGTTTCAAGCCATTGTGACCCCAGCTCAGTTCTGGGGAGTGGGGAGTCATCCTCCTCCCTCCATTCCCCCCATCCTCCCCCTCTCACTCGAAGGAGCCATATTCTAATTGGCTGTCATTCATGACTGGAACTGGGTGTTCTTGTCATGCACGAGTTCTGAGATCCTCCAAAAACTTATATGCAGTTTAGGTGCAAAACAACCTCGTGTAGCAGGGCCACACTAATTGTATGCAGTAGTCTGAGAGACGGGGAGTGACAGAGGGATTCTGAGTGAACTGGTTGGGGCCCCATTTGATGTTTGCCACACACTGAAGGTTGGTAGAAAAAGGGGAATCATTAGAAATGGGAAAGAAAGGCACAAATCGGCTATAGAAATGAAGAGGAAGTTGAAATGTTTTCACTGTAGTGGCTTGCCATGAATGAGCGCAGTGGGCACTACCATAGATCTTATTCAGATGAGCTGCACTAACCTATTGTGGTAGGTTCTCATCTTACCTGGCAGGGGAGATACCACATTTGTGGTTTTGTGCAACTGGCAGGGGAGATCTTCTTATTCCCAGTCTTGAATGACTTGGCATAGTTGAGGGTGGAGACCTATCTACTGCACTGCAGGCATGTGCTCCTGTGAGAGTTGACTATAGCCTCCCAAAAGGAGAATCTCTGCTTCACTATTTATGGCAATGGGGGATTGCTCTTGGGTCCTCCCTCTAGCTTGCTCTTATGACCTCTTAGCTAGGGGCAAGTGAGACTAGGGGGCATCTGAACCCCAAGGCCTCTGGGGTTAGGGCTTGCATGTAAGATACCTGCCATGGATTTGGGAGCATCTGAAGAATCTGAGAGGCAGGATACTTGCTAATGGTAGCTCCACACAGACTTGAGTAACAGCTCTGCTCAGCTGATAGAATTCTGAACTGATTTGGCTAATTTGGCCTGGGACATGCAATTTAATTTAAAAGAGCGCATTTGCTCAGTGTGGGCCATGTGTTTTGTACTCGTACTCAGATGTTGGCTAGCATTTGATCAACTTCATAGCTTGTTTCCATTATTGAGCACATGCTGCTTTTGGCAGTGGTTTAATAATAGACAGTGTATTTGTTGAGACTTCTTCGTACATGAATGTAAATTTTAACTATGCCCTCTATGCTGTTGGGGGGGGGGGGGGCTCGTTTTTTTTT